ACTCTTTCCGGAGAACTCCTACTTTCCTTCATCTCGGAGTTCTGGAGACTGGGGCCACCTCTGCACCTCTACGCGGCACTCTCTCTTTCTGCTCTTCAAGTCTGTCTGCTCCCTCTGCTGGTCTTTCTGGCACATGACACCTTCTTCGAGTCTGACTGGAGGCAGAGGAGACTGGGGGAGGTGAAGGAGTAGGAGGCTTAGGTCCCCCCACCAAAGCCCAGCTGGGAGCCCATGCAGGGGTTGCATAAGCCCAAGGAAACAGAGGGGCACACCGGCAGAGGCTGCTACTGAAGAGTGGTAGTGTCTGATAGGAGAGTGCCCTGTCCCTTTGGACTTGTGTTGCCATAGTTACCGGATGCAGGGGAAGGGGCAGCTATTTTAATCTCTCTGAACTTTCTTTATGAGAAAGGGGAGAAGGCATGGTGGGGGAAAGGAGCCCCTTCTTTTTCTGTCACCCTTCAGATAGCCCTCCCACATCCTAGCTCTGCTTCCAAGAACCATGCCTCCTTGGGTCTGGAGAGTCAGTCAGTTAACCGTTCAGTGTGAGGGTCAAGGGGAAAGGTGAAGGTAGGAAGAGGTCTGAGGCCTGACAAATATATGTATTAACTGTGGGAGGACAGATAAGGAGCCCTATTTTAGCCTCCCTCCCCCACATGACTTTGACCCAGACAGTTATACCCAGAGGGTCAGGCAAGATCAATGATAACCGGAGAAGAGACCTTACACATGCCCCTTCCAGGGAGCTCTTTTTTAATTTTTTTAAATTTATTTTTGGCTGTGTTGTGTCTTTGTTGCTGCTCTCAGGCTTTCTCTAGTTGCAGCAAGCAGGGGCTATTCTTCGTTGCAGTGCACGGGCTTCTCATTGTAGTGGCTTCTCTTGTTGCGGAACACATGCTCTAAAAGCGCAGGCTTCAGTAGTTGTAGCACACAGGCTCAGTAGTTGTGGCACACGGGCTCAGTAGTTGTGGCACACGGGCTTAGCTGCTCTGCGGCATATGGGATCTTCCCGGACCCCACGGTATCAAACCCGTGTCCCCTGCATTGGCAGGTGGATTCTTAACCACTGCACCACCAGGGAAGTCACAGGGGAGCTCTTTAGAGAGCATTGCTTTCTCCTCCCCACCCAGGACTCTAGATCAGCAATTCTCAAACAATTTGGCTTCAATGTTCCTTTACATTCTGAGCTTTTGTTTACATGATTTATATCAATTTACCATATTAGAAATTAAAACTGAAAAAAAAGTTTGTAACACAAGAATGCACAATCCCACAAGAATACACATCCCATTAACAAAGATGTCAGGAATGTAATGTAATCACATGTCCTACAGTCTCTGGAAAACTCCACCGTAGGCTGTGGAGATATTGAAAATTAAAAAGGCATATAACATCTTAGTTTTATTATGAAAATAGTTTTGACCACATGAAAGGGTCTCAGAGACCTCCTGGAGGTTCCCAGGCCACACTCTGAGAACCATTGCTCTGGACCATCATCCCAGCCCTTCTTTATGACTCACAGTTGTTGATTTTTTTTCCCTCATTTTTATTAGGAAAGTATAAACATTTGCCTCCCTGATGGGTCCTCCCCCCCACCCCAAGAAAAACCAGAGAACTTTTCAGGCTCAGCACTCCTCTCTCTGGACTCCCATTTCCGGGGCTCTCCCAAACACCTCCCATCAGCCCCTTTCCCAGCTCCCTCTTGAGCCTCCCTTCAAGCACTTCCACAGCCCTTACACTTGGCCAGCCTGTTTCCCCCAATCCCAAGCCCAATGGGCCCTTGGTCTGCTTCTTCCTTCCCTCACTTGAGGACTTTCTTTCCTCTGGAGAGACTAAGTGATTTTTCTCTGCCTTCTCCTTCCCACCCTCCCTCCCTCACCTCTGCCATCTTCTCAGATGGCTTAGGGTAGGAAATCATACTTTCTGGGTAGACTCCTTTAGAGGACACACTTTCCCCATCTCCCCACACATCAACTAGCCTGGGATGTGCCAGAGTCTGGACAAGAAAGTGCCCATTTGGGTCCCAGAGGGGTCAACCCATTCATATTGCCAGGTGACCCACTGGATGAAGGTATGGGTCAGGAATCTGATGCCTCCAGACACAGATGCCCTTTGCCTAGGAACCCCTAGTTTGATCTCTTCACTCCAAACCCCCAGGTCCTCTTGCTAGCTGCAGCCACAGGCCTCTACCACCATATCTGGCACATCTGTCTTGACCACGTTGCCATCACGGTCAAGGTAGAGGAGAGAGAGAGGCCTTCGGGCAGTAGGGACACAACAGGAAGTACCCAAGGGCCAAGGGTTGTTGGCCTTGAGGAGGCTGAAGACAGCAGAATGGAAGGAGGCAGCAATGCCTGGGCTGCCAGCCAGGTGCGGGGGACACTGCCCACTGCAGTAATTCAGCTGGTACCCCTCAGGCTGCAGGATCCAGTCCCGCCATCCCAGTTCCTGGAAGTCTACATAATGGTCTCGCCTACAGCATAAGGGGGTCTCAGGCTCACAGCTGGGGGTCCTCCTCCTGGCCCGGCCTGCTCCAGGCTCTTTGGGCCGGGTCTTCAGCTCCAGGAAGGGCCGCTGCTCTCCCGCTGTGTCCAGGAGCTGCTGAGTTTGGGGGGCAGCTGTGCTGTTGCCTTCTAGCAGTCTGCAGTCCAGTTGGAGTTTCAAGACACCAGACTCCTCATGCCTCAAGCCACTAGAGGGCAGAGTCAGGGCGTGCCAGCCCGGGGCCGTCAGTTGGTGCTCAGCCAGGAGGACGTGGGACCCTCGGCGTCTCCTCCTAGGGCCCCATCGGAAAATCCTCAAGGAAAGAGT